CGAGTACTTTCACGGCCGGAACCGATGGGTGGAGTACAGCGACGACGCGTATCTCGATTACGACGCCTCGCAGATACCGGCGGAATGGCACGGATGGATGCACTACACCACTGACATACCGCCCACTCTTAAGCCGCCCGTGAAGTACAAGTGGATGTGCGACGAGCATCGCGTCAACTTTACCGGCACTCATCTCCAGTACGTACCCTACAGTACCACCAGAGAGAAGATCCAGAAGTGGGACAAACGGTTGCCGCAGATCACCGCTAGTGAGAAGTAGCCGCTAATCCGGTCCGCTCTCTCCCTTTGATTCGTTCGTTTAGGCCTTTATTTTATGTTTTTGTTTTAGTCTTTGAATTGTAATTTAAAGTTAAATAAAATATTAATTAATTAGTTATCAAATCTCGTGATTTAATTGTATTATTTTTTTGTGTTTGATTTTGTTTTTGTTTTATACGTTATTAATAATAACTATTGTTATCCACTATTAAAAAGGATGTTATCGTTTGATCGGAAACTTACAAAAATATTGTGTTTTTGGTTTAATTAGAAAAACAGGTTTTGAATTACGAGATGATTGTTAGCGTTAGAGGATTGCGGAGTTGATATTTATCGCAAAAAGCAATTAAAATGATCGATATTGAGATTTCCAAACAAATACTTCTTTTAAATAAACAATTTAAATATAATCTCATATTTCAATTGAAAATACATTATTTGAGATTCAAATTATGCGTTAGTTTTTGTGTAAATAGCATTCATTTGCGTCAATTGCGACAATCAGAATTATGTTAAATAAGTTAATAGCAAAAATTGTTGTCATAATTGTATGGCTAAACAGCGACCCATTCCCACATCCCGTGTCATCCGTTCCCATAATACACTGTTCCGCACCTAAACTACAAATACAGTGCATTAATAATAACAAAAATATTTTGTTTATCGATTTGATTATTGGCTAAAAAGGCAAACGATTGCGATAATAAAATACATTTAAAAAAGTTGTCATAATTGCTATCAATCAAACATTTGCGGAATCCATTTGAGAGATTCATTGAACGTATGCATGGATTTGGGTGTATATGTGTTTCAATGATCTTTTGATTCATTATATCTCTCATTGAGATTACAAGAGAGAGAAAGAGAAGTCAAGTCTTTCACACTTGAACTTTGTTTTCAGCGATTCTTCCCATGAAATCATATTTTCCATTCATTTCAATGAGACGTCAATTCAATTAGAAATAAATATTAAACTATAAATTCACTTATGATTTATATTTATATGTTTCGCATTTCATTGACTCTTAAGTAACAATTAATCTCTTGTTTGTGAACAAAAAATAGTTTGCTTTTTGAAAACAATTTTGAAATATTAGAAATTGTGAAATATATGAACGCAATGAATATTTTAAGCTTTTTTGGCCTAAGTTTTGCGCTTGTCTTCAATTGCAATGCTTTTGATATTAAGACAATTGGAGACAGAATTTCATTTTTAAACAGTGGTATGAAAAAAGTGTCATAACTTTAAACTAAAATATTTTTCAAAAATATTGTGATCTTTTATCTAATGATAATTCAATGATTAAAATATAGAGTTAGGAGTTATAGAGTCGGTAAAGGATGAGACGGAGAAAACAGTGTCCGACATCTGCGCCCAGAAGTGCGCCAAAGACATCGATGAGCTCAAGAAGAATATGACAGAACTCTATATGGCTTTTCTGGTACTTCACGCAGAGTTCGCTCACATTAACCAACACATGGTATTTCACGAGAAGGCTCTCAAACATATCGCACTTATGGGACATAAATCTANAGAGTTCGCTCACATTAACCAACACATGGTATTTCACGAGAAGGCTCTCAAACATATCGCACTTATGGGACATAAATCTAAACACAGTTCCGATCACCACAACAGTGACCACAACTTCAGATCTGACGACCAAATATCTAACAACACTGAAAGCCAAATGAATTTAAACGTAACGCAAGAATTGGACAATAAATCACACCATAATCATCATAATTATGGCCCGCATAATGTCCATCATCATCACCATCAGCACAATCATCATCATAACCATCATAAGGATCACAAACACAATAAAAATCCCATTACTTCTCAAATACACGACATTAAAGACAACCCGATTCCAGAAAATCAGAAGAAGACTAAAGACAAAGATAAAGACAGTTCTGAAGAATCGGTAGAAGAGACATCTTCTGTGGCAACAGTTGCGGACAATTCAAAAATTATGTCCAATATAAGCGGTGAAGTAAATGAATCCCAGACACCATCAGTTCAGACATCGAACTCCACCAACACATCCAACTCTTCTCAATCATCGACTGGTGTTTCGGAAGAAGAATTCAATCAATGGTTTGACAATATGTTGAACGATATCCATCACAGCCATCACGACATCAATGACAGAATAGTTGGCGAATCAAGTAATCGATTGAAATTTTACAGACAATTGGATGAATCGAAAGATAATCAGAAAAATGCGGACGAAATGGAAAACGCGTTGACTTCGGAAGATGTGGTATTTGCGAAGTGTGTTCTGCGACCGAATCGACACATCGCTCTTCTCAACCAACAGGACATTGAGGGCACTATCCATATGTGGCAACTCAGACACAACAGGGGACCCATTCATATGCACGTCAAACTAAAGGGCTTCAAAGTGGCCAATCATGTCCACAGCCATAGCCAACAACACGCCAACCATAACCCCAATCATAGCA